TTGCTTTCACAAGCGCTCCGCTCTGCGGTGCAGGGAGGTCACCTCCTGAGGCCAGCTAGAACCCTTATGACAGGTGCTCTCACTTTACTGGGTGGCTTGAACACACCGAGGTTGAACTGCAGCCTGTGAAGGAGGTTAATAAGCCGCCTGTTCAGCATGGCCCCTGTAAGTGAACTGGGTCTAATGAATCTCTGCCCCAACCCTTGTCAGCCATCACTTTTCCATTGCATGTCTTCAAAAGTATCACATGTACAATGGTTGTAACACAAATCTCTGCTGAACAGAGGCAAATACCCACACTCAGCTAAATTATTCAGCAGGCTAAAGTGTGCATGGTGCCCCAGTATAAGACTGCTGGTTCAGCTTCTTTGGTCAACGTAATTGAATCGTCTTGCAGTCTCTTAGCACAGCTGTAAGAATTCGTACCTACGTAGGACGAAGCTACCATTTATACTCCCGGGTAAAACTGAGGGTAGAGGACACAGCCAAATCAGCCTGCTATCCAAGCAGGCACTTTGATAGCAAGTGCCTATTTAGCCACACCATGAAGTTGCTGAATAACTTGGAATTTGGTCCTATTTTTACTTCTGCATTTAATGTTGCATCACTAACCAAGAGAGTCCACCTTTATAAGAAAGTATATGCTTTTACAGTGGATGTCATACCCTTTTAAAACAATTCCAAGATAAGGCAATGTCCATTTCCAATCCTTGCCAAGACACAGAGGGAAAAAACTTTAAAGAAGGTCGTAATCTTTAGTAGTTATGTATGGAATCAAGTTTCATGATTTGAACAGGACATTTGAAAATGTATGCGATATTTTTCTTAAAGCAAAAAGCAACGTTCTTATCACACACTACTACAGAAACTCTATAATGACCTCTGTAAAATCAGAAACCAAGCAGTTAAAGATATGTTTTTTACATTTCATTTGCATTGGCTCTGCAATTAAATATTTTCCCATAATGATAATGGGTAATATATACATTCAGCAAAGTCAAACCAGGAATTGATTTGGCTCCGTATTGTTTCAGGTTAGACTGTAAATATCAGGGTCCTGTCTGCTCTGTATGAATATAAACAGCCTCAGAGGAGTTCTGCCAATTTATAGCAGCAGAAAATCAAGGCCAGAGGATCAAAGGGTCTTTTCCATAAAAGCAGCGATTTGTTTCCATGCCATCTTCTTCAAAAGGTTCTGAATCATCTGGTGAGTACTCTCCATGTTTAAATTATTCTCTTTCAGTGGCACTGTGTGTATACAAGTGTATATAATGATACCTTTGTGCATTAACAGAGGTATATTTAGAACCATAATAACGTCTGAGTCAGACAGATTTGTCTGCATCTCTTTTCATTTCTTCAATTTTTATCTTATTCTTTCACAACCATTATCTCAGCAAAAAATTAGTCTTCCCTTTACACTCACAAGGAGTAACTCTGGGCATTAATAATATCTGAGCTTGACCCACAGCCAGCCAAGGAAACAACGCTTCAGATTCCTGACCCAGTGGAAGGACTACTATACTTCCCATAAAACTCAAGGAATTTCTCCCCAGAAGTCAGGATCCATCAAGACTGTGGAAAGAAAGAGTCGGTATCCTTCTGGTAACACCCAAGTAAGCAACAAGTTTAATAGAGATAAGCTTACTGGCTGATATGGATGCATATTTCTGTTGCACTTTAAACATCAAGGAAGTCATGAATACAAAGGGATTAGAGAGATGCATCACACAGTCTTCACTTCCAACAGGTTCATCCAAGATCAGAGATTTGCAGTCAAAATCCTTGTCAGTGCAGTAGGGAGAAAATCCTGTGCCCCACTGCAGCAGCCCCTAAGTCAACTCCAAGTAGCACTCAGTTTCCTGTTCCATGTGTGAGTTTTGCCTTTAATGCTTTTGGAAAAGAAGACAAATGTTTAGAAAAGACCATAAATAGAAAAGGATAATGTCCCTCACCAACCCCTGCTGAAAATATTAAATATTAAAGAGAAAACAAGCTACAAGAGGAAAAGATATATATTATTCAGACTTCAAACCATCTCACAAACCCTGAAACAATTCCAGGTAACTAACTCCATGTACATATATAAAATTTAACATGCACATAAAGTACGTTCTTAAAAATGACAACCTGGTAATGGAGAAGAGAAAAATATGCCTCCTTTTTGAAGGATAATCAAATGAAAGGCACAAGCCAAAAACAACCAATGGGGCAAGCCAATAAAATGTCATGTTCAGAAAATGTAGCCTACGTTGCATAATCTCCACTGTCATATTCGTCTCTGTTAACAAAGAGCAAAAATCTAACTCATGAGTGGTGTAAATGTCAGTGAATTATTCCCATTTCTCTGTATGATGTATGTCACTAAAGAGTTCCAATTTTGTTGAGTATTCTGCACCAAAGTGATTCTTTCTATCAAATGGAACCATATAATGACTATACTGAATGACACTTATGGAGCAAAATAGGTACTCCGAGCATTTGGTCTGAGAATCATCTGCCTATGAGAGAAGAAACTGAATGGCTGGATGTATCCCTAATGTACAGGGAAAAACTGATATGGAAATTAACAGAAAATGCACAGAGCTGATTTGGCCTGAAGATCATTATGAACCCCTGGACAAGTTTTCTTATTGACTCTACTAGCAATAAGATTCCAACAGGACTGATCTATAGTTTGTGTCTCATACCTTTCTAAAAAACACATTAAAAAAGTGCAAAATTCATAATTCCACAAACCCATAAAGTCCACCTTTATGGTTGATTCTTTGTCTGCAGGTTAACAAACTCTGTACACAAAGGTGTCTTAGACTGGAGGTTCCTTACTTTATCTTTGCTATACATACATAAGTTAATAAGGTTGCCTCCCTTATTTTTCTGTTGAGGCTTTTAAAGGTTGACCTTGCTACCTTTGTACAGCAGTTCTCAATCATCTTCCTCCCAGATCTGCTTGTGGAGCTCTTCCAGAACTTACTTCTTGTCCCTCCCATTTCTACACATTATCTGTGTCTTCTAGTCTTCCAGAAGAAAAATAATTAATAAATAGATCTGCTCAGTAATTTTTAGCTGAATGTTTCACTGGAAAATTCCAGTTGGATCTTAAGCACTTAATTCAAAATATCTTGGGTTCAACAAAACACTTCACTGAATTCAAATGAATTCACATTAAAAAAAAAAAGTTTCCCTAAAAAAAAAAAATGTTTGTTTCCCAAACATCAGAATCTGCTATACAGCCAATTCCATTAAAAACTGTTTAACTACAGCACAGGCATCTTTTTGAGTGTAGATGTTAAAATAAATTTCTCTTTACCTTCTACCAGCAAGGCCCTATACAGACCAGTTTTGCTATACAACATACTTGTAGTTTTATATCACTCTCCTTAAACATCTGGCCTGAGACCACTTTCTTTTCTGGTTTTGGGTTTTTTTTTTAATCTCATTCTTAAATTATATCCCCCTAATCGAGGTAATACCATTCCTCAAAACAAATGCTGTTCAGATTTCAGTGGTGCATGATTATGGTCTACAAAATTACTGATCCAGAAAACTTCCTTTGGAGCATCGAAGCACCTTTCTTTGTTTTTATAAATTGCTGACAATGGAGCAGCCAACCAGTCACACGGATTTCATCCAGAGCCTTTATACAACTTGTGGTTTGGTCTCTAGTCTGTGTGCTCAGGCACTCTTCCCAAATCCATCATGTTAATCACCCCCTTCAGAAATAATGGAGATAGGCCAAGGACAAAATGTTGGTCAATAAACTTCAGCTAATGCAGTTATACCAGGAAAAGACCAATAATGCAATTCAGTGTTGTGATGTTAAACCAAGCATCAATAGCAAAGCTTCTACAGTATGCTGAAAAAAAAAAGAATTCTAAACACCTCATAGCAAGAGTACATACTACCTCGTGTCAGAGATACACACTCTTCTCTCCCACCCATACTACATTTACTTAGCTCCAGAGTTTGCTGTATTTCAGTGACACTGAGTGTAAGCCATAAGCTGGTATTTGGAATCACCTCCTGTAAAAAAATGTAAAATCTGACAGCCTTTCAAAGCCAGTTTCTTTAATGGATGAGATCACTATTTTTGCCTCTGTGCAGAAGGCTTTTTGTAGCGGTTCATTTTTTAATTGTTAGGAGATGCACCATATGAATTTTGATCAACTCAAAAAGTTTATTGCAAACAGGAACATTTATTTCTCTGCAAAACTGAAGTAATCTAAAAGACAGGGAAAAAAACTAGCATTCCCAAATTTATTCACTCATATAACTCTGTATATTTAAGTCTTATAAAGATAGAGAAAGAGTTTACAGACTGATTTGTCAGCTGCAAAAAGCTCTTATTTGTATTACTGAAAGAACTAGGTAAAAGGCAGCTTTAGGGCTAGCTCTGCACTAGTCAGGAACTGATTCAGTACCAACTGTAAGTCAGAGTGGCCATAGTGCTATTCTGAATTCCACCAGCTTGTTTTGGTCCTATGGAACAATTACTCCAGCATACTAGCCTGAGCCAATACAGGATTCACCTCGCTCGAGGATTTTTCTACAAAAAGGAATTTATGGCTGTCATTTGAGACATCCTTCCAACTGCCTTGTACCACCTGGAAAACAACAAAGTAGCTGAGCACTGGGGCTAAAGATATTAAAAGTCATTGATCTATACAAAAATCTTGCTGGGTTTAGGGACAAATACAGACATCCTTAGCCAACCTTAATGCCTAAGTGTACAGACTGCTGAAGGGCTACTATACAAGCAACTCTGGGTAAGCACCATCTTCCTATTCTGTGCTTTCCTTAGGACTAGGAGGAAGTGCAGGGAAAGGCAACTTCAGCCTCCAAGGCACCTTGGTGGAAGAAACAAAAAAAATCTCGAGGACATCATTTACTGGCCACATAGATAAAAACACTAAATAAGGGTACAATGAAGAGCTAGATTTACCCCCTAAAAACGTTATTTCAACAGCACTGCACAGAATGCCTTTCACTCAGTCTTCAGCTCATGCTGACTTGACATCTGTCCCCGTTTTCTTCTCTTCAGACAATTCTATAATGGCCTTCAGCTCAGCTTCAGAGAACTTAGGGGTCAGTGCCACATTGTCATAATCAAATTCTTCATCAAGAGAGAACAGTTGAACATCATCCCCTAGTAGCTGTAATGAGAAAAAACAGATAAATAATATTGCTGCAAGTGACGATAAGGAAACTCAAAATATAAACTTCTAATTAATATTTAATTAAGCTATTTTTCCTGACTCTAGCATTCTCAGCTGATTAAGCTCTTTTTAAGTAAAAGAATAAATTCAATTATTCAATTTGACCTAATTTAAGCCATTTAATGTGCCCCGTTTGTACTGTATCTGAATTAATATCATTAGCTAATTTCCTCAAGGCAAGGAATCTAAAACCCTCCCTTGCACACATCTGTTACATTCCTGCCACTTGTAGTGGCAGGGCTGTGGGGATATGGACAAGTTATGTACAGCTATGTTAAATTTCAAAGACAGATTCCATATCCTTAAAATTTGGGCAAGTATCACATAAAGCTTCAGTGTACATGCAGATGACTAATGTAACATGCCTCCCAGAACACAGTTTCAGCAAAGAAAATGCCTAGAATGAAGAAAATGACACATAATCAGTTTTCAGACTCTAATAATTTCTTTTCACCAATTCAGAAATACGCAATTGGCTGGTCTGGATTTCTTGCATGATGAACACCAATCCGTTGCCAATATTTCCTTTGTTGACACAGTGTATATCATTTATGTATAGTTTCTCATTGAAATATCTTAGAATAAATGCTCTGCATATTGAAAAAAAATGAAAACAAATAACTATGGTAGGCTGCATGCTGATATAGAACTGCAGGGAGCCATGACACAAAAGGTTTATGGTAAACCATTACCTAAAATGAATTACAGAGCTACATAGGAGACACATCTTCACTGCCCAAACTGTACAGGAATGCTCCCAATCCTTTGAGAAGTTAATATCAAATGTCTAGAAATTTCAACCATGACAAATAGCACAACTCCTCATGGGCCCTGTATGTCAGATTTAAGTACTTCAGTACCAAATCAGCAAAACATTTAAACACATTCCTATTTTTTCAAACTTCTGATGAATCCTCAATGAAGCCAATATATATAAGAATATACTTACTTGTTTTGCTAAAAGGGTGGAAGAACACTCAGCATATTATGGTCACTGCTCAGTTTAGAAGGCACAGTATCCCACACAATTTCTAATAACGTTTTGTAAGAAGCTGTACTGACATGGTTAATGTCATCTAGTAAGTAAAAGAAGTGGTAGCTGGATTCCTCGCCAGTGGCTAGGCACCTGACAGACATGGCAACAAGTATCATGCAAGTATCCACATCCTTTATTAATAAACTGTAATATTGCCTGTAATATCAGGAATATTTTTGCTGGTTTTGTACAATTTTAATAATAATCTGTATTGCTTAATGTTCTAGGGCCTGGCTTCAATAGATGTTGGAGCATATAAATCATCCTAGATGCAGACCTGTAGACCATGGGCATTTATAAATGAGGAAAACAAACTTTGTAGATAGTGCTGGTCTAGAAAATGGTATTCATTCTGCATGCAAATATTATCTTGCTTATGTCCATAGACTATGCCAGGTAAACCACCATTAACTTTTATAGCACATTCAAGAAATGTTTACATGCGACAAAGCCTGCACACGCACTCTTTGACATTAAGGCTAAGGTCAACTCCTTGACCTCCTCACCGTATTCATGTCCAGTTTCATCTTTTCCACAGGCAAAACCTCCTAAAATTCCATGCCAGTAAGAGTACCTGCAACCGGGTGACAACTGGTACCTGCAGCCAGGGTTCATTACTACCTGTCTTTCCTTTGCAGAAATATAAACCACTTCTCTAAAGTACGATGCAAGGTGCAAATATTTTTCAGTTAGTTGTTCAGTTCATTTCAGTTAGTTGTAACAATATTCATTACTACATCTATAGGTAACTAAACTAAGAAAAGTTTAAATTACAGTAAGCCTTCGTAGGGATTCTACAAAAACAAATCTATTCTACCTCTGCCGACAGTATACAAACATTCATTATGCCCTTGTGTTGACCTTCATGTCATTCCAGGAACATTTTATGCATGTGGAGAGAAATACTGGAAAAACTTTTGTTTAAAAAACTCAACCCCAAAATGCCAACTGAAATTAGATGCCGAAGTAGAATATACCCAACTTCACTGTTAACAATTTGTCTGTTACCCACTCATTGCACATTTAAAAAGTTTATTCACATTGCATATTTATCAGTGTGCTTCATCTCTCAAACAAGTACGCAAAGCACTAGGGATTCTTTTTTTGCTGCTTCTCCCAAGAAGCCATTCACTTCAACCTTCCACACAGACAAGCAATCTAAAATTTTTATACTGCAAACTGCAATTTTGATCTATTTCAAAAGGAAGACATTTTGCAATAGAACACTGATTATTCTGAGCTGATCAAGTTATTATCTTGCTATTTTTGCCTAGGGAGCTGAGAGAAATATGTGAATTTCAGGTGTCTAATTTAACTAATTGAAATCTTTCTGAGAGCTCTCTGGGAATAGAATTTTGCTCTATTAGAAAACTGCCAGTTTGCTTAAGAATGCTCCTGTGATTTACTCTCTGAAGAAAAATTCATTTTCATTTACAGTTCCTGCATGTCCAAGTTAAAGGGGAAAAGAATGCAATGTTCATATTAATAACTGAAGTATTTTGCTACAGGCTGTTTTACAAAGTAATGTTGCAAATAAAATACCTTAAAGTTGAAACTTTCAAAAGTCTTAATAATTGGCAACTCAGTTCTTTTTATTAATCTGTGTGGAGTTGCAGCTTGTCTCTGTCCTTCTAAAACCTTATCTCTGTGTAATTACAGCACTCTATGATTCACTTGTTCAAATTAGGTAAAGGATGCACATACAATCACCAATAACTTCATTGTATACCCAAGGGAAATCTTACTAGTTCAATAATAATAAATAAAAAAGGGGGGGGGGAACGACACGTATGTATGCTATTATCTCATACAAACTTAACATATACTGGAGTACTTCTGGGCAAAAAAAAAGCTTTTCTTGAGCTTGGGGTACTGGATTGGGAGTCAATAAATCTTGACCAGTTTTCCACTTATGCTTCATTGCTTCATCATTCCGGACAAGTCACTCAATCTCTGTGTCTTTAATAACCTCTGTAACTCTTCCATCTTCTTTCACTTAGTCAATCCTGTCTTTAAGTTCCTCCTTGTTCTTGTTGCATTTACGCATATCACTTTGCAGAAACAAACCTCAGTTGACGCCTATCAGTAAAACCTTAAACCAAAGGAACTCAGTGGAAGCTGTATTTTAGGTGCTGCCACTCCACAGACAAAGATAAAATGATAGGCATGGTAAATACTTTTTTGAATGCTCAAATTAAATACAAACAATGGAAAATAGAAGGGTAGAATTCACCTTTCCTAATCCCAGCCATATAAAAATTAGGCTTCTAGATTAAGGTAGTCAGCCAAAAAAGACCAAGCCTGGAAAGTCAGACTGTGGATGGAGATATATTACATCTTAGGACAAATGCCTACAGCAAGTGGGATGAATTACTTTCTGGAGGTGCTTATCTCCCCCTCTTGATGACAGAATGACTAAATTAGACTAAATTTAAAGCTGAAGTTAGGTGAGATGAACCCAACTTTGAATGCATGTTTATAGTCAGTGGATCGAAAATACGCATTCAATTGAATTCATGCATATGCAGCGGGAGAAATAAAAAAAAAATAAAGACCCTAGGAAGCAGACATTAAGACATACTGTTAATTTAAAAACTATGACTTATTTTATGAAAGAAAATATTAAGTAGAAATAAAGGACAGTGTAAGTATCTGGGTAGGGAAGGTAAATGTTCTATGGTAATGTACTTCAACCATGGGGTGAATGTTGTTTCAATCTGCAGTGGCCCATGGCAGGTCATGTATGCTGCACTTTCGATGCTGAAATCCAGGAATATATTTATGCCTAAAACCTGGGAAGAAAGATGAAGCAACATTGGTGGATAACAAAAATAATTTGCTGTGTCATTCATTAAGTCTCTTCCCAACAGCTTTTGACAGAAAAACATTTTCAGGGAGACAAATTGTTCTTTAACATTTAGCCAAGTTATACGTTGGGTCTTAGCAGAGCTTCTTTTTTTGAACTTTCCCTGGCAATACGTTCAGAGATAAACACCTTCCCCTGAAGTCCTTCACAAGTATGTTCATAGCATAGACAATTGACATCCTACATTGCACTATTAAGCTTGTTTATTTTTCATAGAGAATAGTTTTCCATTCTCTATGAAAACTGACTAGGCAGACACATTCTGTTTCCCTTCCCTAACAGATTTGTTTTGATGGGCAGAGAATAGTCGAACTTCAAAGCAGGGACATCTGTAGGTGGGCAGATTTTGGCCTGTTTAGGAGCCTGGTTGACAGACTCCCTTGGGAGGCAGTCTGAAGAGCAAAGGAGTCCAGGAAAGCTGGACATTCTTCAAGAAGGAAATCTTAAAGGTGCAGGAGCAGGCCATCCCTATATGCTGAAAGATGAACCAGCAGGGAAGAATCTGGCTGAACAGAGAGCTTTGGCTGGAATTTAATCCGGCTACTGCAGTAAAAGACAATAAAAAATGTTTCTATAAAAATGTTAACAAAGGGCAGGCTATATAAGAATATCCATCCTTTACCGGATGCTGGAGGAAACATAGTGACAAAGGATGAAGAAAAGGTTGAGGTACTTTATGCCTTCTTTGCCTCAGTCTTTAATAGTAAGACCAATTGTTTCCAGGATACCCAGCCCCCTGAGCTGGAAGACAGAGAAGTGGAGCAGGATGAAGCCCCCATAATCCAAGGGGAAACAGTTAGGTACACCACTTAGACACACACAAGTCTATTGGGCCAAGGGCACTGAGGGAACTGGCGGAAGTGCTCACCAAGACACTTTCCATCATTTATCAGCAGTCCTGGCTAACCAGGGAGGTCCCAGTTGACTGGAAGTTAGCAAACGTGATGCCCATCTACAAGAAGGGCCAGGAGGAGGACCCGGGGAACTACAGGCCTGTCACTCTGACCTCAGTGCCAGAGGTGGTTATGGAGCAGA